CACACACGTTTGGTTGTGATGCAAGGCAGGAGTTCAATGTCCAGAGTTTAGAAGCCAAAAGGAGTATCCAATGGTCAAGACTGGCCTTAGAAAACAAGAAAGATACCAGAAGATCAAAGAAAGGAATGCTGGGGTCTACACCAATGGCTTTCAAGTATCTAACAATTACCCTCTAGATGATGCAAGTATATATAGTGCTTTGCCCGGGTGCAGCAATTTCCTGTGGAGCTACTACAGGTGTAATCCCTCAGCCCTAAATGCCAGTGCAGCAGTGGGAGCAGGGAATGACAGCTTCTTAGGAAGAAACAGATAGGAATCCTTACACCAGGTTGGTTTAAGTCTTATTTGTCTACATTTTCCTCCTTCCTCCTCCATTTCTTCCTCCGGGGTTTTCAGACAGCATATGATACATTTTTACTCTTATACTAATGATACTTTGCTATATTTGTCAAAAAACCCTGATGAAACTGACCTGTCACATACACTACAGAAATGTTTTGAAACATAGAGGACTCTAAACCTTCTGATTTTGAATGTAGACAAAACAGAAGACATTGCCTTTGGACCAGAATCTTTGAAAGAAGCGGATTAGTCATTACTTTATCTGGATGGGCCCAAGCATTTGCTACTTTAAGACTTTTTGCTATCAGGATGTCCACAAACTGTAGTTAAAAGCCATCATCTGATCCAAAAAGATGCAGCCAGATAACAATTAAAGATAGAGATCGCATTTATATTATTTTATCTTTCTTTAAATTACTTCCAGTTAAATCCAGAATGTTAAATCCTCCTTCTCATATATAAAGCCCCAAATAACAAAGCTCAATCTTGTATCAAAGATCTGATTATTCCTCATGTTTCTAACAGAGCCCTTTGCTTTGTTTGAAAACTATACTTAAACTTTCCTGTTTGATAAATCTCATAGTTAAGGTGGCTCAGTTTATCCTGAGCTATCTATGGAAATATGCTGCTAAAGACTTAGGCTGCTGAAGAACATGGGGACTTCTACTTCCCTTCTATCATTTCGCCTCATTCTCTATTTTGCGATTCTGCAGTATTTGTAGGTTCAATCCCTATCTTTATGCTCTCTCTGCATTTTCTCGTCATAGTAGCTTCATCTGGTTTGTTCCTATTTGGCTTTGAGACTATCCTAGAGCGAAATATCAGCTGGGCTGTTGCCATCACATTAGATCATAGATGATAGAGCAGGAACTGTTTTTCAGAGCTTAGTCATGTTTCTCTGTTAGACATAGCTATTGGCTGAGCTTTTACTGTGACTATCTGCATGTCTTCCTATTTATCCCTTTTGACTTCAAAACTGACTCGTAGCTCATCTTCTTATTTTTTTAGTTTTTTTAATAGACAGAGCAATCTATGGAGCTAGTTTACTGTAACTTTATCTAACATAGAAGGTATTTATGGATCAGTGCTTCTGTGTTCCTCTTGAATGTCTGCTTCGGTCTCTTTCAACCTCCAGTCTTGTCAAATGGCTGCTTACACTGAGTCTGAGTAGTTTTTTCCTCTTCACTGCTGCTGAATGCATGCACGGTGTGAGGGAGTGCTGTAGAGTCAAAAACATGACAAGCGCA